GAAGTGGCTTTAGCTTCTCAGTGCAGTGCTTTAACCCTCTGCGCCACCAGGGAGGGCCCCAGTGGTTGGTTTTTTAAGGACAGTTTTATTACATTGTTTAAATTCTCAAACCTAAAATCATTTTACTATTTATAAGTGACTTTGTTCTTAGCATCCTACAACTTGTAAATTTTATTTTCAGTTGTTCATATATTACCTCATATGCATGATTGAGAAGGTGAAGAACTAGACCTTACTTCCCAAAATTAAATCTGCAAGTTAGCACTTGGAAATTCAGAAATTTAACTATGTTTTCTACATCTCTTAAACTTTTGATAGTCAAACCAATACATCGTTTTTCTATTGGTTTAATGAGTAACACAAAACCAAGACCGCAAAAAGAATCCAGGACTTATCACTTCATCTTCCTCAATCCACAAAGATAAAGTTCTCAAATGACTATTGATCCCTTATGCATGTAAATTATGAATTTTGCCTAATATGATCCTATCTCCCTATAAACTTTATTAAGATATTGAGCTCTATTTCAATTAACTGCCACGGGAGAAAAAAAATCTAGTACACCCTAAATTTTGTTGAAAACATTTCAACCTGGAAAATAGCCTTAAACTTTTATTTATTAAATGTTAGTCAAGTGTATGTGAGGTGAGCCTAGAACATCTAGAAAATAAGAACACTCTCCATAACCTTCAGCGTGTTTCAAAAAGTTTTGGAGCCAATTTAAAGAGAATTGATTTAAACAAAGCTGAATCTGAACAACAGTAAGTACAATAGCTGCAAAAAAAATTAAAAACAAACTTCTAAATGCATGGATTCATAATGGCATTTAATATATACATATATATTTGATTGCCTTTGAAGGATGTTATGGAGTAAAGTTATTTTCTGAAAACCACTTCAAAATTGAATTAAAGAAATAAGGCAATTGCTACTAACAATATGAGAAAAGAGTTAAGCAGATGTTACAAATCTCTAAATGGGAATATTCAATACTATCCAGACATATCCATGCTAAACTGTGGCCATGAATCTCAAACTCCTAGATCTAGCTACTGTCATATAGAACAATATGGCATGGGAGAATATGCCCAATACCATAGTGTTGCTATCAACAAACTCCAGACTTTGGGAAGTAGCATTGCAATATAAAAATTTTAAGAGTGCCATTAACCCTAATGCAAAATATGGATCTCATCTTTATCATGATTCAAACAAATTTTTTTAAAAGAGGGGGATGATTCTGAGAAATTAGTCAGTTTGTTTAGATATGATAATGACATTAGGTTTATGATTAAAACAAGATAATTATTCTTTTAAATATATACTGAAATAGTAGTATATAAAATGATTTGATGTCAGGTATCTTTTTCAATATCGGTGTGAAGGGCAGAGAGCTATAATGTAACAAGATTCATATGAAGAATGATGAACAATATATGAAATTGGTCATTAAGAAAGCTGGGTTACAGTTTTCAGAGCTTTATCCTATTTTCTGTATTTTATTGCTTTAGTATATTTGATAATGAGCATTTAAAATTATTTTTATTTCATATTTTAAAATGGAAATACATTGAAACTAAGGTAGGTTTTTGTTTCCTCTCTCCAGTCTTAAAAAAGTATAGGCTACTCATGGATTGATCAAATGATAATTTAAACAGAGACCATGTGTCACTGTCAAAAATCTTTTAGCAATGTATTTCTTTTAAAATTTTCATGGATCAACTTTGATTTCCATTCATTATAAATACATTAAATCCTTCCATGACAGAATTCAAATCCTTTTCCTGTTTTTCATCCTCAGAGGAGCTAAAGCACACACAGCTGGTCATCGTGATCCATTCAACTCAACAAGCATCTTGTACTTGAAAACAGCAATTAAGTCCTTTTTTTTTTTCCAAGTAGGAAAAAAAAAAAGCTAATTTTCTAAACCCCTTCCACACTCCAGATCCTACTGTCCCATATTCCAGTCACTGGACAATTCTTCCTTGTCACCAATTTACAAATTTTATGTTCTATGGCTGATATTCTCATGTGGTCCTGGAGTGGGCTTCCTTACTCGTAGGGAATGAATTATTCATGCCAGATTTATTTAATTATGAGTTGGCCACAGACTAAATTAAAATTGGAAGTGCATTTGATTAAATTGAATTATGCTCTTGATATTCTGTCCCATCTGTCAAAATATATTATAAGAAATTTTAAATATAAATGACAATTTTTAAATGGCATTTCTAAACCCTTATTGGCAGTTCACCTTGTCAAAGAACACAGATGATGTATAAAGTCAGTAAGAATGCATTGAAAGAAATGGCTGTGTTTCAAACCCATTCATTCTTGCTGCCAAAAGTAACAAACAGTTGTTTGGCATGCTCTGTTATTAAACTCTCAGAATTAATATTTTGTAATCTGCACAATAAAAAACCTGCATCCATGTGTTAAGCTAAGATACTCAAGTGGTACAATAGAAGACCTGATGAATTTTGTTTCTTCAGCAGAAAGTGAATTATATTAAATAATCTCCTAAGGACAGCCAGAAATTACTCACACAGCATGGCTTGCTGTGTCATAATTTGCAGCGACTGCTGTCCATGCTTAGTAATCCATATGCTTAGATTTGCTTTGTCAGTAACTGACTTTTTTTCTCTCAAACGCTCTCAACTCAATCTGCCCATTCCCCACAACTAGGCATTTTGTACTGGCCTGGTTACTTTAAAATTAACAGATCATTATAATATTAGAAGCCTCTGTTGAGGTTAAATTAAATTTTTCATATACAACACAAATGCATGCTTTGGGTCTATTGGTACCAGGTTCTAATTAATACAGAAAATATTAATGAGGATATACCCCTTTTCCATCACACAAGCTAGCATAGAAGTAAATTTATAACTTCAGTCATCCATAATTCAGAATATGTACTTCTATGAACAATGAAAATCTATATAAACATTGGCTTACTTAAAAGTATTAATAAATATAATCATTCAACTTTGTTACCTAACCAGTTATATAGAATATTTATGTTGCCATAGAAAAGACTGATTTCTTAATACTGATTACCTAGACAAAAGGAAACTTGAGTTACACAGTTACTCATCTACAAATGGAAAAGAAAAATCAAAAAAATGAACTATTTTTCCTAATAATATATTGAAACTACTTTTTTTAAAAAACCTTCAAACATATTATGAGTCTAAAATTAAGTTCTAAACTCTCAGACATTGGACTAAAATAATAACTAAACTTTTGTTGGCTTGATTACTTCTCTATATGCCTGATTGTTACCTAATAATTCTAGGTCTATTTTTAAGTTGACAAAATTCCTAAGGTTCTCTTAAAGTCAGTATTACTAGCAGCTGTTCATAGTCTCATCTTCAGCTAGTGTCATTAATACTGCTCAAGCTATAAGTAATCAGCTTAAAAAAGGGAAAATCTAAATGTCTTACTTTGCACATTAATAGGTGAATGAAATTTATTATTGAAAATAGGTATATTTCATTCATACCATGTCTTTCTTCTTAAAAAATATTTTCTCTGTTCCATTTAAAATTCACTGCCCTTATTCATCTTTCAGGTTAGGAATTAATATTTATGATCACTAAATCATGGCAGCATGCCTAGGCCAGATTAGATTAACATATATTTCTCTCATTGACTTTCTCAGGACACCTGAAAGATATTTATAATTTGGAAGCTTTTTTATTCTATGCATGATGTCTTCTTGGAACTGGAAGCAAAGTGCCTTCCTTTCAGAGGTCAATACTATGGTTCAAAATTAAAATCAAGACATAAATATATAAAGCATTAGTTCTGCTTGTATCTATTGTCTGTAGAAATATATTAAGTCCTGGTTCAAGGTGAGTACGTTTCTAGCTAAAGAAGAAACTATATTTAATGCACTAACATAAACAATCTCA